GACCACCTCTGCCCTGCCCGGGCAATTCACACGCCAGGGATGCCTGGGGCTCTACAAGCTCAGGCAGGTTGTGTTGCTCCCCCGTTAAAGCTCGAGGGTTAACTCCGAGGCGACCCCAGCGAGCCCTGTGTGATCGTCACCAGCACCCACCGCAGCCTCCCAGCCCAGAGCCCCTGCACCCAGGTGGCTGCGTGGCACCTCCAGTTCCTCAGCCCTGCAGGTCAGTGACAGCAACGCCTAAAAACGTGTATTTTCTATTTCCCAGAGCTCCGTGCCCGGCGGTGGGGGGAGCTGAGCGGCTCGGGCGCATTCCCAAACTGCCTCTGCGGGGAGCAGGGACACAGCAGCCGTGCAGCGAACAGCCCTGGGCCTCTTAAAACAGCCTAATCCCTCCCGGTGGAAGCTGTTTATTCTTTTGATTGCCGCATTATTGACTTTCCTTGAAACACCCCGAAGGCAGATCAACTAGCTGCAGCTTCCCGGGAGGGCGGCAGCTTGGCCTTACAGACGCTGCTCCGCGCGACGGTGCGGTGACGGCGACGCTTTGCGTGGGGTTCCCACGACAGAACAGACCTGGCTCTTCGGGCTGCCAGGAGCCCGGTGTCCAGCGGAAAGCCCACCCAGAGGACAGCGTGGGAGGAACCTCTGTGGAACTGAAAGGCTCTTTGGGCGGGAAAAAATGCTTCAAACACCAGAGCAAACCCCCAGAAGAGCCCCTCAGCTTGTATAAATCGGTATCTCTTCAGCAAAGAGGCGGTGGTGTCACGCAGAGCGGCCCAGGCCGGGGGCACATCCCCGCGCAATCACACGGGGAAAGCGCCGCACAAAGCGGAGCTGCTGCCGGCGCTGGCCCTGCAGGCACAGACGTGCCCAGGCACTTACCCGCCGACGGAAACGACGACGCCACGAGCTGCAGGAGATGCCTAAAAGCAGATCCCAGTCAAGCGGTCTGTGGCTTCAGCACCTTTGAGTCTCCCTCTTATCAGGGAGGCTGCACCCTGCGCCCCGCAGGCAGCCACTGTGCTGCAGCCAGCCCCAGGCCTGAGCAGGGGGCAAAGCCCCGACTAAAACCTGCTCGCTCCTTCCCTGCTTAACCTCCGCTTCCCAGGCGCCAGCAGCCTCACGCCCTGGCCTCCCCAGCACCCAGCACCAGCTGGAAACCAACAGTTCTCTTTATTTGCTCTGCTCTCTTCCCTTTCTTCCTCTTTTTTTATTTACAGTTATATTATGCATTTATACATACATTGTATTTTCCAGCTTCTGCTCTCTCGACAGTGCTGCAAAAGCTAGAGCTTTACTGTGAGGTAACTACACCCAACTGAAGATTTTTGGCATAACAATTTGGACTGTTGTTTCTGTTTCCTAACTCCACTAAGCATCACTTGACCATGTGAAAAATGACAAGGCCATCAGCTAAGTTTTCTAGGGACTGAGCAATTTGGCAGTAACGTGCAATATTAAATTCCTCTCCTTTACTTGCTTGTCTCAGATATGGCAAACACAGTCATCCACAGAGAAGCAAGCTGCTGTTTCAAAAGGATTTACAGGAGGCTGAACAAGTTTTGGTGGATCAATACGCATTGAGGCAGACTGCTACATTTTACTCTGTTAAATCTAGCAATATCTTTCATGTGACCACTTCAAAATATTTTGCAGCCATTTCACACACAACTCCAGAGGGATGGATAAGCAGCTTTATCTCCACTTCACATATGTGGCCAAAGAGATTAACTTGGTCACATAGCTAATGACAGAAATGAGAGACGAGCCCAGGCGTTTTAATATAAACACATGCTTCTTTCGAGGGAAGAGGCACCACTTTAAGTCCAAGGCCAATTTGATCTGTCTCTATACTCTTCCCTTCTACAGGACAAAACAAAAAGGCCACTGGAGAGGGGGGATAGGCGTGCTCTGTGCCACTTCACAGCTCCTCTGATCGAGTTTTACATTTCTCATTAAAACCGCAGCCCTGGGAGGACTCTCCACCCTCTCCCAGAGCAGCTGGGACCTCCTTTCTCACCAGAGCGGGAGGTTAGCAGAACGGCTTTGTTATAAAAGTCACTGCTCCGTGGTGACGCCGAGGGCACAAGAAATGTCAAGGCTGTGCCTAACAGATGACACCGAGCCATCTGGGATTTGGGGGAAACGCTGCTAAATTAGCTGCTGCAGTGCCCTGACGGTTCAGATTTGCGTACAAATCAAAAAACCGCACGTGGCAATTTGTGCTTGATGCGAAGGGTGTGCGAGAGCCCCCCATCACCCCCCCCCGTGTCCCGAAAAGACAGCCCAGGACGTCGTTAGTCATCGCCCCTGGTGAGGCAGGGTGGAGGAGCCGGCAGAACGTGCACGGCTGCAGTACACGGGCAGCGCTGGGATCCCACGGGAGCGTGGCCAGATGGGTTTTGAGCTAAACCACGACGCCCCTCCGCGCTCCCTGTCTCCCTGCTCCCCCCCCCCGGCGCCCAGGGCCCCGCATCGCCCCGCTCTGCTGCAGCCCGGCTCTCGACCAAAGGCAAAAAATCCACCTTCTCTGCTCGGAGCCCCTCCGCTGCGCCCCACAGAGCCGCAGGGCTGCCCCACGGGGCCGGGGACGGCCACGGCACGGACCCGGCCTCTGCCAACGGCACCGCCGCGCCCGGGACTGAAAGGCACCAGCTTGGCGCTGTTAGAGGTACTAAGATTAAAACACTATCTTGACAACTACATCTAACAATACGTTTCCTTCATTTTCCTTTACATGGATTACAAATCTACAGAACGCCCCACACTGCTGGCTCCGATGGCTGTCGTGCCTTTCGACCAGTGGGATACAGGGAACAGGATCCCCTTCCTCTGGAGCATGCCGAGACCCTTCTCGTCATGCTCTTGCAAAATACACTGAATATGTACAAAACCCTGTTCAGATAAACTGCTCTTCCTGTGGGGTTTTAAAATTAGGGCACTGCGTGTAGCTCACACATCCGATATTTTGTTGTCTTTGGTGAACAGAATATATAATTAGGGGAATTTAGCTGCACAGTGTTGAAGATGCTCTAGTTAAAGTCCCCTGAAGGGATTCCTGGAGTGCAGAAGAAAAGCCATCTGCTGACTCCAGTGGAAGTGTCAGCAAGGAAATAAAGTTGGGAGGAATAAGATAAACAGCCAGAACTCAGCAACTCTCCAGGAAATCAAAGTCCTCAAAACTTCATGAAAATATGTCATTCTTGCTTGAAAAACAAACGAGCGGGCGCGCGTGAGAGAATATACACAAGAGCAGAAACCCGCAGATAAATCAAGGTGCTATCATTTCTTGACGTTCAAATGTCTCCGTGATTGGTTTAATTAGTTTTTTAAATGTGGCTAGATACATCTTAAACAATAAAGAGCACAAAAATAACACACTAAGAATATTTTATCATATCTCAAAATCTCGAAATCATCAGGAGTTTTGCATCAGGCTTACTTTAAATAGTGCTTAGAAGAATAAATGTTAGTGGGTTAGTAAAGGAGATAAACACTCCAGCACATTTTAAAATTATACATTTAGGTAATGAGGAAGCCAGAAGATTAACTCGGTAGTCATAGGTCAGTTATTTATGCGCTCATTGAAGCAACTCTAGCAGGAAGAATCTCTACCTCACGCAATCTCTATCACTATGAAGATGCCTATTAGAGGAAGAAATGGAAATCCCTTCTCTCAAATAATTTAAAAACAGTTGGTAGGAGTCGCTGACACACACGCACGTTCAGTTCCTACCACCACTACAAAACCTGCCGCCAGCAGTTCCCGCCCTGCGGGCGTTCCGTGCGATGAGCCCTTCGGACAGAACTGGGGGGGCACCTTCCCGCGGCAGGCAGGCCCCTCCGCGGGGGCTCAACCGCCTGCGTGGGGCTCACGGCACCGAGGGCAGCTCACGCCTGCTCACACTGACCCAAACCGCACGTAGCAGAAAGAAAAAAAAAAAAAGTATCTTCTGTTTCAACAACAAAACCAAGGACGTATCTGATCTTCATCAGTGTTGATCCCTTTCAAACGCAGCCCAATCGATGGGCAGGAGGAGACCTCAGGCTCCCCTGCCTTCCCCAGGGCAAATTCCCCTCCAAGGGCTCTGGGCTTGGAGAAGCTCCGGCTGCGGGACGTCCTGCCGCCGGAGCCAGAGCAGACGAAGCCATCGCCTTAACCCCGGGCAAGCACCACGCCTGCGTGGTTCCGAGGGCAGAGCCAGCACACGCCGACAAGCAGGGCTTAGCCTGCTCGTGATACGGCGTGAAAGGGGCAGAAAACGTTCAAGCAATTTCTGGTTTGTAGCTGGTTATCCGACGTGCCTGAACCACGCAGGTCAACCCAGACTCCTCCACTTGTGCGCTCAGCAAAGTGTTTGGTTCAGGCTGGTTCATGCCCTGCAGTTATAATGAAAAACTCCGTCTTTTTTTCCAGACACTGATGAAAGAATTTTGTACGTAGCATAAATACGAATCGATTAATTTGTTGTGTGATCATGTGGCCACCATAAAGTTCAGAGGAAGCTGACTCTGAGTGTTGCCCAGGGCAGCTGTGGCTGCCCCCTCCCTGGAAGGGTTCAAGGCCAGGTTGGACGGGGCTGGGAGCACCCTGGGCTGGGGGAAGGGGGCCCTGCCCGGGGCAGGGGCGGGCACTGGGGGGGCTTTGGGGTCCCTTCCCACCCAAACCAGCCTGTGGTTCTATGACTCCCATACAACAGCAGCTCTAGCTCTGCTCATATAAATGCCTACATCAACCACAGGGGAAGTCAAATGAGTGTGTGCAGCTGGGAAGAAAGAAAAACACCACAGGGAAAAGGAAAAAAAAAAAAAAAAAAAAAAAATTCCAAATTTACAGCACATTTGCAGGCCCCGGTTAAGCGTATTTTCAAAGCCCCAACAAATACGCCTTCATTACCACCACATGAGAGGGCATTCAAGGACCAAACCGTGCTTAAGATTTAGCTGTGAGCTTATCAGTAGAGAAAGGGCAGGATGCATGCAGGGGAGGAAGCACTTACATCAATGAGGTCAGAGACATCGTGGATGTAGTATTTACTGACAGCTGCGTTGGTGGCTGCCAGGTTCAGCAGGTAGTCATTCCTGGCTTTAGTACACTTCAGCTTGTTTTCAGAATATTTGGCTTGTCTCTGAAAAAGCAAAATGGAGTGTCACAGCACAAATAGGATGCTACTTTCACAGCTTCTCTTGCTGCGGGGCCCCACAGCACCCTACAGCCAGGGCGTGATGCGTTAATTAATAAAATTTGGTATCGGGTATGAAAACAGGCACCCTTGCCAGGACGGAGGAGATTGCATCTGAACACCCTTGGTACCATCAGCCAACGCACGACGAGCGCTTTCTGCTCAGATGTACCCAGCGCATCCGAGCACAGCTGCTCTTCCTTTATCTGTGCATTCGTGGAGGTTTTGGCATCCATCAAAATTAGAGGGCCAAATTTTCCTCCCAGAAACGCTGACATACATTTGGACTTGCTCCAGATTTATGCAGCTGTATCAAAGTGGAATCTGGCCCAGAGGCCCAAGCTACAGAATTTAGAACAGGACCCAGAATTCAAAACTCTGTAGGAAAGCAGATGTGCTCAGATCTGGAGCATTTGCTCAGACAGATCACTAGTCTAAAGGTTTAGCACAAAAGATTAACCCTTCAGAAATCGTGCTGCTAGACAATGTCTCAGTGCTGGGACAACGCGTGAGCAAACACATCCTGGCTGAGGAAGCCACTGCTTTTCCTCTGAAATTAACAGAAAAAATTACAGTTTTGGAGATCCTGGGGTCTGGGGGGATTTGCTGAAGCCAGAATGGAGTTAAGTGTTTTGACTAGCAAAGCCAACTAAATGCTGCATTTTAACTCCCAGACCGTCTGTGGAGGAAGAAGCACTGTTATTTTATACATCCGACCCCTTTTGTTGCCTGCCACAAGTCTCCGACTGAAGGAACCCTGGGGCAGCTCTTGTTCATTGTTATAAAACGCGTTTTTGAACCAAGTCAGTCACAAAGAAACCACAGGGCCCGCAGCAGGGTCCTGTGCCTGGGCCAGAAAGCCTCGCTGTGACCGGTGCGGTCAGCACAGCCGCCCGGGTGCCAGCCGGGGCACGGCTGAGCCCTGGGCGAGACCCAGGAGCCGCGGCCGGGTACGAGCACGTCCCACCGCCCGCCACCGGCCCCCGCCCCGCTCAGCCCTCCCTCCCGCACGGCTCCCGTACGGGCCCACCACCCCCCCAGGGCTGCACTGCCCGATATCCCCCCTCCCCATTTCTTGCCGAGCCGCGGCCAGCCCGACTCTGGGTCAAGTCCTGGCTACCGGCCGGTTTTGGCTCTTCTCCACAGCCAGGAAGCAGCGAAGAGGCTCGTTACGGCCTCCCTGGGCTGCCCTTCAGCGAGACGCACACACGAGGCGATGTCCTCCCTAAGCCCTCCCCAGGGACACCGGAATGGCTGCACGGAAACGGACGGGGCTGGAGCCAAAGCCTCCCACCCGCCGGGAGCCCCGACCCCCAGCCTGCCTCCCCCCATCCTTCCCTCGCACCCACCTTCTCCTTCATCTTCTCAATCTTCTTGACGGAGCTCCGCCGCTGAGGCCTGTCCTCGTGCCGCAGCAGGTTCACGCTGATGTCCCCCGACTTGTTGAACTGCTTCTCCTCCTGCTTCTCCGCCTCCTTCAGCTTGCTCTCGGCGCTGATGCTCTCGGCGTGATACATGTGGTAGGTCTTCATCACCTGAGGAGACGCAAGTCTGTGAGTCGCCTGCCCCAGGAGCCATCGGCGCACGAGAAGATGGCAGCGTGGGCAACTCCGCTCTGCCAGGGCTGTCCGAGCCCGCTGTGGCATTAAGGAACGGCAAGGTGGGATGGAAAGGCCCGTAAAACTAACCCCCTCGCTAGCCCTGTCCCAAAACGGTGCAGAGCTGCTGCAAGAACTGTTACCCCTCCTCGGTCCCCGTGGCAGGGACAGGCTGAGATGTGCCTCCAGCACACACCTGCGTCCAAAAACCACCCTGGATCCTCCCACAGGGAAATAACTTCCAGTGCTTTGCAGCTGGGGTAAGGGTCTCCATGACACGAGACTGTGAGGAGGCCAAGGTCAACCTGAAGTTACTTTTGACCCAACCCTTCTGTTCCTACGCTTGAACTTGCGAAGCCAACCCATCAACACAACCCCTGCTCCACCATCCTGACAGCAGGTCCCGTCTTGAAGGTGGAAGAGCTGCAAGTTCTGAGCTGAAACGGAGTTTGTCTCCTGTCACCGCTGAATTCTCCTCTTGCTGCTGCCGGTAAGCAGAGTCAGTGCCAGGGTGGGCTGCAGCAACACCCAGTCCTTCCAGTTCAGGACGGCCTTCAGTAACTGGGCAGAGCGCTGACCTACGGCCGGGCGAACGCCTGCAGGCGAAGCTACCACAGCCTCTCCTTTCCAATACAAAAGCCCAAAGGGCGCACTGTGATCATTTTAATGGAGCCGGCAAGAGGAACACATCTGCTCTTCTCTCTTTATGCCTTTAGTCACGCTGCCCCCTTTTATCACCTCCCTTCAGGATCTGGATGCTTTATTTCACGTTGCCTCGCCAAGGCGCGGGATGCCTGGCCTCCTGCTGCAGGTCGCTCTCACGCAAAGTGCCCGGGCACCGCCGGCAGCGGCACTGGGACGGGCTCGCCTCGGGTTACAGAGGAGCAGGAGCCCACACAAACAGAGGAACTTTGCACAAGCCCTTAATGAGGAAAATACAGAGTTTTTCCTCAGCTGCGGTTGTCAGCAGGAACCAGGAGTGTTTAACTTGGATGAGGTTAGGCTGAAACATATGATCTCTGCTCTTGCCAAGCACAAACGTCAGCTGCAAACGAGCTCCAAATGCCGCATCGAAGCCTGCACAAATGTGCCATTGCTGGCAGTTACGATTTTAGGCAACTGGAAGGAATAGTAAGCAAAGGCTTGTGCCTTGCTTCTGAGCTGCTTTATTTCAAAATCCTGCAAATTACAACACAGATTTGAGCCACACATTTCAAACTGCAGTTTCTGAAGTGAACGTCACAGGACACACACAAAACAGACGATCTGGGGGTTTTTTCTTAAGGACAAAGACTAGAGGGCTTCGCTGAGCCCTCCTCATCTTCAATGTTCCCATCTTTTTGTGAAAAACTCAAGAGGAGAGTGAAAAAGAGAAGTCCTGCACTTCAGTGCAGTTGGGCACTAATGAGAGAGGTTCCTCCAGCACCCAGAGAGGCCCTAATGCAGCGCAAGAGAAAAGCCCACCAATTGAACAGTGGCCCAAACCGCATGACCTTTTTTTTTTGAAATCGAAAGGTTCCGAGGCGGTTGCCTGGCCAGAAAAACTTCAGCACAGCTCATCGGTTGTGCCCGTTCACCCGCGGCGATGCAGCTCTGCAACGTCGGCAGCCGCCGCCACCCGGCACCTTGGCACAGCCTCCTACTGACTGACTTGCTAACGTCGGGAGAAGCTTTCCCTAACAACGGCCCTTTCCCCTCCTCCGTATTTTCTCCCTATTTGAGCCCGAAAAGGTAACCCAGGAACCAGGCTTAAAAGTCCTCTGACAGTCTCTTTAAAGTGCAGAGGACCTAATATCCATTATTTTCCCCAGACTTCAGCGTCCCTGTTGCTTACGCAGATGCCTTTAACAACTCGCTGTGCTGACTGCGCTCCGCATCAGCCGCCATGCCACACAGCTCGCGCTTGGAAATTCGGGGTGTATTTGTTTTAATATCTGCCTCGACTTTGAATGGGGACTACCTGCACTGCAGCAATCAGCACTTTGATCCGCAACTCCCTCGAGCCTTCTCGGCGCCTGCAGTCGAGTCGCACTGGTCCCTGTCTTACACTATTGTGTCACAAAGAAAAACTGCCACAGCTGCGTCCCTGGGATCTTTTCTGCAAATAAGTTAATTAGCTGCAGTGGAGGGAGAAAAATATGTTCCAATGTTCATTGGTTATTTAACAACGCAAGTTGTCTTTTCCAATATTAATAACACGTTCTGGATAAAGGCCATTGCCAAAATACCAGCCATAAATGGCACTGTTTGCTGTCTTCAGCTAGCAGCCCCTTACGTTTCTCAACAGCCCGTCATCACGGCTCTGACCCAGCAGAGGAGGCGATCAGGAGCTGGGTGACCCGTCTGAAGCGCAGGCTCAGGCCCTCCCGAAGCCGAGGAGACCAAAGGACAAGCCCAGCACACGGGGTGAAGCACAGATGAGCACGGCCAGGGGTGAGAGCCCGGTGAAGACCCCAGCCCGCTCCGCGTCGGATGGAGCCTGTGGCACAACCCAAGGGACGCCCGCAGTGTGAGGTCTAGGGAAGGGACAAATCCATCAGGCCGACGGACGCCGAGCTCCACCTCCCTGCTCTTTTAAGCAAGCATGAAAGCAAACATCATCTTTACAGAGCGTTTCTACGGCGTGGTACGGAGCAGCGTATCACACGCTCCTACCGTGCGACAGTCGGCGCTGTCTACAGCGTGACCCCTGCAGAAACCCCCCGGCGGCAGGGCTTGCTCCATCGCAGAGCTCCTGAGGGAAAGGACAACTCCCTCCAGCCAGTTCACCTCCTGCTGCACAGGGAGTGGTGACCATTATTGTTATTTTTAACCTGGGTAACGTATCTGTAGATATCATTCTAATACATACTATTAATTTCACAGTTATTAGTCCTCTTCCATAACACCTTGCGACAAAGAACGGCGCTGGTTCACATCACGGTACTTCCACGGGCTTCGGGGTGCTGCCTTCGGCTGAGCCACGTCCCTGCATTATGGCAAGCAAAGCTCGTGCATCAGAGCCCACTGGTAGTGCCACACACCACATCGCCGCCGGAGCTTACAGAAAACACTACCCGAACAGTGCTCCGGGGTTACTGTTTTTCTCACCCTAATATTTTGGCCTGACTTCTTCAGATAGGAACGCATGCAATACAGAAAGGGACCTGCGAGCGGAACCTCCAACCTTTACAGACTCCAACTTGGTATCTGTCTGCTAGAGACTGCAAGCAGGAATCAAAAGAATGGAGCTGGCTTTAATGCACAGCCAAATTATTTCTGTGCTAAACTTCTCACAAGCAACTCCTGCTTCAGAATGAAAGTCATCTACTTCCGTTTTAATTAAAATCAGCATGGTTTTGTGGTTTAGTTTTTTCCACTCAGAGTCCACAAGATGACTTGCATCAGAAGAGCAACAAGGCTGAATTAAAATCGATTTTGTTATTTTGGGTTAAGTTTGAGACAGTGAATTCCTGAGAAGCCTGTAAAAAATTATATAGTTTCCACACAGTGCACAGAATTCCCCTCTGAAGGGCTTAAAAAGCAGCCTGGCCAGGGCACAGACGTACTGTGGATACAAGGCTTGGCCATAGGCAAGATAAACGACTTCCTTGTGTCGACAGCAGACAAATGACATTTTAGAAGCAGCAGCTTGGTGTCCTTTGAGCCAGGGATCCTTATTCTGTATCTGCTTTTGTCAGCAGCCACAGTTATTGAATGTGCTGCTCTCAGATACCCAGCACGTGGCAACGAACACACCAACTCCAGATCAGCCCTGAAGATGCCCCGAAACACCACCAGCGCTGGATCAACCTGCAAGCCACGTATGCAATTAAGCCTGTTCTACCTGATGCCTCAAGGACAGAAAACTACTGATCGGAGGGCAGCTGGTTTGCACTGAACAGATCCAAGATGAGCTGGTTTGCCCAACAGGGCCTGGTTTTGTTTCATGTTTCATCAGCGTTTCTGAAATAAGCGTCTCTTCCCTGCTCCTTCCCAGCCAGAGGACACAGTCGGTTTGTTATCTCAGCAGCAAGGTCAGTTCAAAGAAAACACAAAGCTCTTCCAGCCGTTCCAGTCTGTTTCACCACGCAAACACGTTCTGCTCAGCACGCGGGAGCACAGCACTGAACGGGGGGAAATCTCAGCTCCAGGGAAGACGAGTTTTGCCACAGACTCAGCAGGCCCAAAATTGCTCTCCCTGCTCTTCTTGGCCAGCAGCACGCACTTCAGACCTCAGCACACTTCTGATCCTCAAACGGAGCCAACCGTGTCCCGCAGGTGATGCTCCTGTCCCGTGTTTGGGTTCCAAGCACACTGGTCCACAGGTATTAAGGTCAGCCCAGCCCTTGTTAGCCTTTCCTTGTTTTGCATCTGTCACGCTGCTGTTGTAATTAATCTTCATTAGTCACCACCAGTAACACAGATTGTGACATTCAACCACCGACAACACACCCCCAAATCTCACACAGGCTTCTTAATCCAACCTGGCTGTCCACCCACACTGCAGGTCCAACAAAAACTGAATCCTTCAACAAGCAATGCTGAAACAAACCTGCTAAGAGAAGATTTATGGCAGAAATTTCAAAGAGTATCATTCATGCTTTGTTGTTCAGGCCTATTTTTCAAAAAGATGGAATAGAATGATTGTTTAGGAATAAACCTACTGCAGTGTTATTTATGTACCAGTAACAGACACAACCAAAGAAAGCAAATATATCCGCTCAATTTTCCAACACAAGACAGGCTTTATGTTGCTTTGTTGATCCTAAAGCACAAATAAAGTAAAAAAAAAAAAAAAACCAAAAACAAAACCAATTGCTACAGGGCGACAGAAGCAACACAAAGTCTTTTACTGCCCTACTATAAATCCTGCTTGAAGAGCAATATCCTGAATAACTGTACGATTTCACCAGGAGGCAGACAGACAGCTCCGCAACCAAAGTGCTGCTTGGAGCAGGGAGCTGAAGCTGAGCACATTCAGCTAAAAGTTTTATGCATTTCCCAGCAGAAGATCATGTTCAGCCATCATCCAGAGGCCAGGCTCACGTGAGCAGGCTGGGTTTCAGCCGCAAATCGGCACTGCCAAGCCGGAGCATGACTTCTGAGCCATTAGCGCCTAGCAGAGGTCACCAACCGAGTGAAGACTGGAAGGGGCCCGAAGGCAACGCGGCGCGGAAGGCCCGGCGGGCGAGAGCACTGCAGCGACCGCACCGCACCGTGCCCAAAACATCTCCATTTATGCTGAGTGGAACAGTTTTGTGGCACGAGCCGCTGCCTGAGGCGGCCGCAGAAGCCCTTCGCGGCAGGACCGCGGGGATGTCCCGCGCTGCTGCCGTCAAAACCAGTGAAGAGTGAAACGTTCCTAACAAAGGCGAGAGGCTGTGTGCAGGATGGCAGGAGGGGGAGCGAGCCTCCAAGTCACCGAAACCCCGAACAGGCATTTTGTTCTAACAAATGACATTGGCTACGTTCCCCTCGCTGCACAGGCCAGGCAGGGGTAGGATCAGCTCAATACCCACCGTGTAAAGCTCGTTGGTGACTTTCAGGAGTTCTTCATGCATCTGTAGGCCAATTTCCTTACTCTGGAAGACAAAAAGAAGAGTGGAGATTCTGTTACGCTCACAACATGCATTTCTGAAAGGAAAATACATTCTGGAGGGAAAAGTAAAACTGTATGACTTCCAAACACTACAGGAAGAAGAAATGAGGTGACAGGTTTTTTCCTGGCTGGCTGACCAAAGGCACACGGAAGGTCTCCAGGGCTGCCAGAGTACCGGTACGGGACACCGTGGCACCCGCAGAAGGAACAGCCTGGGGACACTGGTGAGCTGGTAGGACGGGGAAGCAGTGAGGAGTCGTTCTCCTCTTCTTAAGCCAAGTGACCAACCTGATCCTGACAAAGGCAGAATAACTTGTTCGAGCCCTTCCACCCCGGTGCCCAAGCGGCTCCAGTTCATCCCCAGCGAAGGCTTCCACGCCCATCCCACGGCGGACACCAGCACAGCCACCCCTCCGTGCCGGGAGGGTTTTCCTTCCCCCCTCTCAGCCGGCAGCGCAGCCGCGGACCTTGGCAGCACAGCTGGCTTCAGGTGATGCCCATCTGAAACCCTTCCTGCCGCCTCGGAGACCTGCCCTCCCCTCGCTCCTCTGCCAAACACGAGACTCGCCATTCTTTGCTCTGCAGTGGTGCTAACAAAGCCACGTACATTTTAATTATTATTTAAAAAAAAAAAAAAAAACAAACAACAAACAAAACAGCCCCGCAGCATGAGAAATGCCCCAGGAGCCTTATTTACACCACTTCAGAAATCCTGTCTAATGTCCCTCCTGCTCTGGGGGCTGAAAGGACAGCATCAACAGGGCTGCCAATCCACATCTGGGCTCATTTTTTTTTCCATTTCTAAGCATTAAGACCAAAATACAGGATGGCCTCCTCTTCCAATCTGCCGGTGACAGTGAAGTTTAAAAGTAAACTGGCATTTTGATTTCCTTTAATTTTCTACAAATCCTTAAGAAAATAAAATGCGTGATTATAAACATGAATACATACAGTACAGCAAATCCCCACGCTATTTCAGAATTGCTGCATTTCCATTTGAGGTCAATGTTTGCCCACGGATCACCCAACCTGGGTTTCAGAGACCATGATGAGGAACATCACACAATTAAATTTATTTATCCTGCAAACGCACTGGGATGAATCTAGAATTACAGACAATATCGCTTTGCCCTTCCACTGGCAGCATTTATCTCCAGCCCACAGTCAACTCACTGTGCGGATCTAACACGTAACACCCTACCCCCCTACCCGGCCCCCCCCGGCCATTTTGGGGACTCATTTCACATTAAGACTGGCAGAGTGCACAAAAGCTGGACTTGGTCCATAGCCAGAAGTGTTTTATAGCTTGACTTGGCCCATTTTTCAACAAAACCTGTGTTACTGGATGCGGGTGAGTGGCTGTTGCACTCTCCACACTGAGCTGGCTGCGTGTTAGTGGTACATTAACTCCTCTGTATAACTTAAGTTATACAATAAATGTTCGCGGGTACACAAATCGCTTAGATTTGCATCCTCCAGTCATACTGTATCACTTGCCAATCTATCTGGATTTGATAGATTCATTAGACACCTGTAGCTAGACTTGCAATTTCCAGTCAATTTTGATATTTCAGAATGAAGATTATCAAGGCTTCCCAGCCCGAGCATTTCAGGTTTTAGATTCACCTTGACCATGACACACCCTTCCCAATTTGTCTTCAGCAGTTCATTTCCACTATTCTGACCTGCGTGAACCAAACTATCTCTCAAAAAGGACATTTTTATTACCAAATTGCTACACCACAGTTATATAATAAAGTGTCCAATTTCACAACCTCAACAGCCAAAGTTCAGCAAGCTTGGGAGAAAGCTCACTGCAAGTGTAAGAACTCATGGCAAAACTCCCTCCACCCCCTGTCTGCTGAAATCCTATTATCAGTTGTATTTCCACTTTTCTTGCCAGGCAGGATGAAGCAGATCCAGTCGCCTCCCTCCTACAGCACCAACATGGCATTTCACGGGAGAGGCCACAACTTGGGGAGCTGCTGAACATTTAAGCTTGGCTGCAGATCAAGTCAACTCCCACTCAGAAATCCAGCGGTTGGATGCTACTGTAGATGTGCATGCACTGCTTTCCTGCCTCCCTTGTAATTACACCCCAAATCTCTCTGTGGAATCTTCTTGGCTAGAAAACTTTTATTACAGCTTGAGGATGTGCTTAAACTAAGTACAGGCACCTCTTTCCCTGCCCCCAAAAAACAAACCAAACCAAAGAAACAAACAAAAAAAACCTCAAACCAAAAAAATCGAGCCGTTTCTTTCAGATTTCCTCAAATAACTCCCTGCATTTTTATGCACACAGTCAGGGAAAACAACATCCCACCAGCTTCTTGGCTGGGTGGCTAAAGTAGTCCAGGACACAGAGAGGTCTTCTAATTAAAGGCAACTGGGCAACCTACACACTCGAGAAGTTTAACCGTAGATTATTAAAAGTCAGAATGGAACGCAAAGAGTGAGCAAGGAATCTAATGAGCAGAAGCGCTCTGCGTTCAGTGACTATCCCGTAATCACAGTTTCTCTGTGAATTAGTGTCGGGGTATTGGGAAGAGCCCCATCCTCGACCGAGGCACGCGGCTCCCACGGCCACGTGCGCGAGGTGCCAAGCAGATGCCAAATACCAGAGGGTGCCAGGTGCCCCCAGCCACCTGGAAACCGCCGGCCCCCTCCCTGCCGACACCCGCAGTACTTGCTGGTCTCAGAAGTCTCACGGTGGCTTGCTAATAAGCAACAGAGCCACTAAAAGCACGCAGCCCTCCCAGATACACCCCGAACAGGGGCCGTGCGAGCCGGGGTCTATAGAGGGGGCTCCCGGACCCCCGCTGGCAGGAGGCCAGTCGCACACAGCCCCTGCGCCACGAGCTGGAGCCCGAGCCCCAGCCCGAGCCTTCCCAAAGCAAAGGGAGGAGGACGGGCCCACGGGGCCCAAAGGCAGCTCCCGCCTCTGCCCCAGATTTCCTGTGCGGCGGAGGGCAAGCGCTCCAAGCCGTCATTTCCAAACCTAATTTTAGGCTCCTAAATAGAGCAACAAAAAACGGCTCAGTTGTCAGCAGCGCGTCGTTCCCGCGAGTCACAACGACACGGGGGGGACCACGGGTGGGTTGCTCCATTTCGAGGCCCATTTCTCACAGGCACGAGACAGCAGGCACCCCCCGTCCCGTGGCTGGAGAGCACAGTGGTCCCCGGCATCGTCAAAAGCCTCCCAGCACCCGAGGGCAGCGCCCAACCTCGTGATGCTGAAGCCTCTTCCAAAGGCAGGCAGGCAAGAAGCTGGAGGACTCGCCTCTCCTCTGAGTTTCCTGCCTCCCCTTTTTATAACAGAGCAATTACATTTGTGTGTTTATGGGAGACAACGCCAAAACGTCATTCCAATTCCCTGATACCATCCGCAAAACCCAAACTCCAATTTAGCCGCTTGCTTTATGCCTTCTGCTCCTACTAAAACACAGTTGCTTGCTGGGATAGCAATGGCTTCAGTTTAGCAGGTTGATTAAAATCCCTGCTGCTGCAGACAAAGTAATGGGCAGAAGCAACACGGACTACTGGCAACGAAGAATGCTTATTTTCTAGACAAAGAAAAGAACTCCCTTCCACCCAGACACCACTTCATCACTAAATCTCCATCCAGGACACTGCAGTACGGGCATAATTAAATTCACTGTCACGGAACGTAATTAAATCTCACACTGGGGAATAAGGCAGCATGGTTATTTCGGACATAGCAACGCTCTGTCTCAAATGTATAATTTCCTGTATTCCATACTTAGAAGCAGCAGCAAACTCCTTTCCTTCTGCCACCGCAGGAGGAAAAAGGGGAGACAACACCTGCCCGGCGGCGGGGGCCGGCGGCACGTCCCCCACCCCGGGCTGGCCTCTGCCACGAGGACGTGCTGCGGGATTTCACGGTGACGGAGGCTCACTGGGCAGCAGATCCAGTCGGGCCTCTGCAGCGACACGGCTCAGCACCTCTGCTTATTGCCTGCCTGTTAGCAACACCAACACGCTTGCGCCTTGATAACCTCCTCCCGCGCCAGGAACGGGACTCACACTGGAAGCTCCGGGGAAATCTGCCCGGTGGAGTTTTCTTCCTCCCCTTTCCTCCTCCACAGGGCTTGCCTGTCCCAGGAAAGCTGCTGCCGGGAAAGAGGAGCCAACGCCCCAGAGCCCACACGATCCCCCCGTTTCGCCCATTTGTAACCATGCACCCCAAAGGCCCCCGCACCGATCTAACCAGCGGCGCTGTGGCATCCCGTGGCAGAGATCCACGTTCCTCTCTCAGCCTGGACACGCAGCTCCTGCTCTCCAAATGACACTGGGCCCGAGCCGAAAAATCTGCAGAATTTTATCACCCTGCTTTGGAGAATGGTAGTTTCTGCGCAGCAAGAAGCCATACCCGCTAGAGGACAATTGCCCTTTGTCACGGCAACTATAACCAGTCGCTGCAATGAGTAAATGATAGCATTATTGGGTCTCTTTATAAAAATGCTGGGACACATTTAATATCCCCGTGGGCTCCTCCTTCACTGTAACAGCCATCAGCAGCGCAGCCCCAGCCTCGGTATCGCTAATGGAAGACATTGGTCCTGGGTCTCTAGACTCCAGCAAACTCCCACTATGAAAGCTGCCATGTGTGTGTGTGTGTGTATATATATATATATATATATATGTATATATACACTGGCTTCAGACCAGAGGGTCACAGCAGCAGGGCCAGGTGCCAGGGAAACACCTACTCTACGCCGCTATTCCTGCCCTCCCATCATCAGCACTGACGGGATGCAGTTGGAGCCCTCGATCATAGCAATATGTTAAATACTGGGTTCTGAAGCATTGCCAGAAGAGGAAAGATGCACAGTTTAACTGCTGGGATAAAATACAAGTAGGGGGAGTTGGATTATAGCTGTGTAAAATTACATAGCTTCAGTGAGCAAGGGTTCGGCTGAACAACTTGAGTTCAGAGAGTGAGGCAAATCATCAAAGACAGGA